TTTCGAAACTAAAAAAAAAAAAAAATAAGATTCCATTTTAACACCCAGGAAGTTTAAGAGGCAAGATTCTTTAGCAAATAGACAATACCTCAGCCCACCTTCGGAGCTGAGCAGGCAGCCTTTTGATATGCTCCCAGACCAAGATGGCAGTATCCCAGAGAAAAATCAAGACAGGAAATTCCTCATGTTAAATTTATTTTTAATATTCATAGACCCTTAACAAGTCCTTCCCCCAGGCTTCAGAGATAGTCCCCACCTTTTTGGACAAACTCTAGCACAAGACCTCAAATCCCTTACTGTCTCAAGCTCTACCCTCTTTCAATATGTAGATGATCTCCTCCTGTGCAGTCCCGCCCTACAAACCTCTCAATAAGATACTATTCTCCTTTTAAACTTTCACTCAGAACACGGCTATCAGGTCTCACTCTCCAAAATTCAGCTGTCTGCCTCTCAGGTCACATACCTGGAAGTTCAGCTCTCCCAGGGCTTCGAGGCCATTACCATAGACAGGAAAAAACTTCTCCAAACCATGCCTATTCCAAACAACAAAGACACCATCCCTAACTCCCAAATGACAAGAACCATACACAGTAATCTTTTCCATGCCAACTCCAGTTAAACTTCAGGTTCTTCCCCACTGGATACACAACTCCCACCTTAAGCCATTTGTCTCACCTTATTCCCCTTCCACCAATATCCCACAGGTTTCTACTCCTCCACCCTGATGGGACCTCTTACTCACCGCAGTTTGCAATGCTCATCTCCACTTCCACTCGTCACTGAAGAAGTTCCTGCAAGCACGAAGTCCTAAGACCTCCCTTACAACCACCATGTGTCATGCTTAAGGATTGTTAACCCTGGTCTCAACCCTTATTCTCTCACCAGACGTATCTTCCGAACACCAGCCCTTTCTTCTCTTTCAGACTATCCAAAAAGATTGCACCATCAAGGATTCCCTCTGCCCTACAGGTTGCTTTTCTGCCTACACATATGTCCCCAAAGAATGGTATAATTCAGCCACCCTATGTAAACATAGCAATCAGCCCAAATGCCAAAAATTTCTTACCAAACCTTTAACCAGCTTATGCTACAGGATTACCAAACCCTCTCCAAAGACAATGATCCTTATTAAGCATGGAATACACCATCGCCACTTCAGAACAAGGGCTCATCTGAGGACTTCCTCCCATCAATACAAAAATTAACTTCATCAGCCCTAATCAGCAGGAAGCAGTTACTGAAGACTGACCTTCACCCCTTCCCAAATCCTCTACTGTTAGGCTGGAGGTAGGAAAAACAAGGACATGTAAACAGACCAGAGAGATGCCATAGGGGGAGAACAGACCAGACCCCAAGGTCTGTGCCTTATATGGAAAGGGGACAGCTCTTCCTGAATTCCATCCTTCTGATGTGCCAACTAAGACCTGGATGTCAGCCTCCTCCCTCTTGGAAGGAAAAAAGTTTCTAGTTGTCTATTATGTCACCTTTAGCCAATCATACCTCTCCACGCCCCCTAGGATAGCTTGCCCACTCCTCCCCC